CCGGGCAGCGGGCGGGCTGGGCGGCGGGGCTCCGGGGAGCGCGCGGGGGACCCGGCCGGCTCCATCGGGCGTGGAAGAGAGAGAAAGGCTCAGGCGAGCGGGACGCGCGGCTGGCTCCGGCTCTTCCCTCCTGCGCGCCAAAGAGGAGCCGCGGCGCCCGAGCCGGCGCGGGAGGCTGCGCTGGGCTGGCCCGGCCCGGCCCCTCCCCGCCCCGCAGCTGCCGGCTCTTCCCCCCCCCCCGGCTCCCGCCCTCCCTCCTCTGGGCAGCCCCGCAATGAGATTCGAAAAATAACAGAGCCAAGAGGCGCAGCGCCAACCAATGGCCGCCCGGCTGCGCAAGCGGAGGAGGGGAAAATGCGCAAAAGCGCAGCGGGGAAAGAGGAAGGCGGGGGGGGTGAGGAGGAGGGGGGGTTGGGAGCACGTGACTTTTTTGCAGCCTGGAGGGGGGCTCTGCCCCCCCTCCCCCAGCCCCCCCCACTCCCCAACCCTCTCCCCGCACAGAAAGGAGCGGAGAGATCGGCGGTGCGCGCGATAGGGCGGCGGACTCTTCCTCCACCGGGAGGCCTGGTGGGGGTCGGGGGGGGGTCTCTTGGGGATGGGGGCAATTGAGGAGGGGGCCTGGTTGGTGATTTGGGGTCCGGGAGGAAGGGCGCCTTTGCACCCCCCCCCCAAGGGCCGCAGATGATGCCTGTGCAGGCCTGATTCTCAGCCCCCTCCCCAATCTGGATTTAATCTCTATTTCTCCATCCCATCTCTCTCTCTCTCTCTCTCTCTCTCTCTCTTTCATTCTGTCATTCTCATTCTCTCTCATTCTTGCATTATCATTCTTTTTTCTCTCATTCTTTTTCTCTCCTTTTTCTCTCGTTCTTTCTCCTTTCTCATTCTGTCTTTCTCATTCTCTCATTCATTCATTCATTCTATTTCATTCTCTCATTCTCATTCTCTCTCATTTTCATTATCGCTCATTCTTTTTTTCTTTTTCTCTCCTTTTCCTCTCATTCTTTCATTCTTTTTCTTTCTCATTCTGTCTTATTCTGTCTCATTCTCTATCTCATTCTTTCATTCTAGTTCATTCTCTCATTCTCATTCTCTCATTCTTTCATTATTCTCTCTTTCTTTTTCTCTCCGTTTCCTCTCATTCTTTATCTCTCATTCTTCTTTCTCATTCTGTCTTTCTCATTCTCTTATTCTTTCATTCTCTCATTCTTTCATTATTCTCTCATTCTTTTTCTCTCCGTTTCCTCTCATTCTTTATCTCTCATTCTTTTTCTTCTTTCCCATTCTGTCTTTCTCATTCTGTCTTTCTCATTCTCATTCTTTCATTCTTTCATTATTCTCTCTTTCCTTTTCTCTCCGTTTCCTCTCATTCTTTTTCTTTTTTCTCATTCTGTCTTTCTCATTCTGTCTTTCTCATTCTTTCATTCTCTCTATTTCATTCTCTCATTCTTATTTTCATTCTCATTCTCTCTTATTTTTCTCTCTCTCTCTCTCTTTCTTTCTGCCTCTCATTCTCTCTCTCTCTCTCTCTCTCTCTCTCTCTCTCTCACATACACACACACACACACACACACACACACAAACACACACACAAATGCCTTTGGAACACTCCTGCTCCTTACCCACTGCCTTCCAACCCTTTCCTTCCAATCCAAGATAAGTAAGAACCGTGTTTGCTAATAAATAAGCAAACAAACTCAAATGGGCAGAGCTGCCACAAGAAAGGTAAAGAAAGTGAAAAGAAAAAAAAAAGTCAGGGTGAGATGAGGGAAACAGAAAAGACTTTGGCCGCACAATCCCGGGAGTTGCATTCTTGGCATTTTATGCATGACTTGCCTTCCGCTGCTTGCTTGCCACACCTCCCCACTCCTTTTTCACCCAGGGGCTGGATGGGAGCACCTTCCCTAAAAAAAAACAGGCCAGAAAAAAAGGTGGGATAACTAAGCAAAGGAAAACCTGGCCTGGAAGGGTAGACAGATGGGATACGTGTCTGATAAGCTCCAGTTGTGGCAGGTGGCAGAGGAGAAGTAGGACTATTGTGGGCTGTGTAAATAAACAACGTGCTTTCAGCCTGTCCTGGGTCTGTAGCGCACACATGTTTCTTTGCGTGGCAATTGATGAGTTAAAGCTCAGGTAGGCCACGGCTGGGCCCCAAATTTCCATTGCCAAGCAAGTCGGTTGCCCCATTTTATGAAGGGTTTTGCCACAGTTCTTAAATCAGGGGTCTTCAAACTTGGCCCTTTGATGACTTGATTGATAGGCTGTGTTTAACGAGCACACCCCGATGTTGTGATTGCAGAAACTGGCTCACATTTTCCATCTTCCGGTGGTGGCCGGCAACTGGGCCTGGCTGCAGCTCAGTCCAGAGGTCAGGTGTGGTGTGAGAATCTCACACACACACACAAACACACACGGACTTTGGCAAGGGAGGAAAAATGGTGGCTGCTTCTGAACAACAGTTATCGGTTTGGCACCAGGCGCTCGGCCAAGGGCGTCTCCTTTGGCCTTCCGAAGGCGACTTCGGGCGGGAGAATTATCCGAGAAGGGGTCGGCGGCTGCAGCTGGACATGGCTGCAGGGAAGGCACTAATTGGGGATGGGCCAAGGAGGGAGGGAGGGAGGGTCTCGCCTTGCCTCCCCGGGAATGTGCTTCAGGGCTGGGAGGACTCGCTGGTGATCTTTTTGCCAAGACTGGCCACCCCAAAGGGATACACAGCTCTCTCTTTTATTTTTCCTGTGTCTCTCCTCCCTATCTTATTCTCTCTCTCACCTTTCTCTTTCTTCTCTCTCTCTTTTTATTTCTTTCTCTTCTCTGTCTTATTCTCTCTCTCTCTCTTCTCACTTTTTCTCTTTATCTCTCTCTCTTTCTCTCCTATTTCCTCTCTCTCATGTCTCTCACCTACACACATGTGTCTCTCATGCAAGCCTCTCACACACACATACAAATCTCTCTCACACACACAGTCTCTCACATGCACACGACACACACAGTGTCTCCCTAACTTTTCACACAGAATCATCTCTCTCATGCACACACAGGTCTCTCCCTCACATACATACACACCTCTCCCTCTCTTTCTCTCTCTCTCTCTCTCTCACACACACACACACACACACACACGTCTCTCACGTGCACACAAATCAGACATATACACGCACACCCCTCTCACACACAAAGTCTCTCTCATACACATAAACACGCTTCCCTCGCACAGACACACCTCTCTCGCACTCACATGTGCAAGTCTCTCTCTCACACACACACTCACACAGAGAGTTTTTTTTTTTTTTTGATTGCCCCAAATGGCTGCCCTGGGGGTGGGGGGAGGAAACTCAGAGTAAAGTCGCTTCTGATTCAGCTCCTCTATCTAAATAACTGCTGATTTTCTTAACATATAAAAAGGGGGAAATAGGAATTAATCTGAAGCATAACCCTCCTTGTGTGAAATCGGAGCTTTTGCCAGGCATCTTCCAATGAATTTGAAAATTATTATTGTTTGTTTAAGCACACATCTGCAGGTGAGAGGAATTTACCTGGAGTCAAATGGATTCTTTGCCTCTAGCTTCGGTCATCTCCAATCATTAATCCCAATGTGGGGATTAATTATTTCTGTGCCGGGGAAATATCTCGAGGGGTTTCTGAGCTGGGGTCTCTGAATTTAATTATTTCAATACTGGGGGGGTTCAGAAGCTGATGAAGTTTGGGTCCCCTCCCTAAAGACACACGTGGGAACCCGGAGCAAATATGCCGGGAGAGGCAATTGGCGAGTTTGCAACACGTCAGGGCCTGCCCTGCCAACTCTTTCACATTTTGGGTTGCAAAGACACAAAGCGAAGGGAATAATTGCAGGGTTCAACGCCCTGCGATGAATGATGCAGGAAATATATTTTTTGTTGTTGTTGTCGTTCAGATCTTCTGGGATCTTCCTGGCAGCAAAAAGGATTGTTGGCATCTTCTGCAAAAGGAAAAAAAAATTATAAGAATCCTAAATGAACCACAAAAATTACAGGCACAAAGACCCAAAAAGAAAAGCAGTGTAAAGCAGAACGAATAACTTCCCCCTTCACCCCAGCGAATTAAAAACAATTTTAATAGCAAAACGCAGCATGATCTGCCTTCCTCCTGAGGTCCCCTGTCTTAATTTAAAAATATAAAATAAACTATAAAATAAACAACAGTTCATTTAGTGACTGTTCAGAGTTGCAACGGCACTGAAAAAAGTGACTTACGACCATTTTTCACAGTTAATGACCGCTGCAGCATGCCCGTGGTCACGTGATCAAGGAGAGAAGCAACCTAGAACTAAGGAGAAACTTCCTGACAGTTAGAACAATTAACCAGTGGAACTACCTGCCTCCAGAAGCAGTGAATGCTCCAACACTGGAAGTTTTAAAGAAGAGACTGGACAGCCAGTTGTCTGAAATAGTATAGGGTTTCCTGCCTGAGCAGGGAGTTGGACTAGATGACCTCCAAGGTCCCTTGCAACTTTATTATTATTATTATCAAAATTTGGACACTCGGCAAATGGCTCCTATTTATGACAGTCGCTACTTGTATTTTTATCTATCTATATTCCCCATGGATGCTTTAACCTTTTTGGATGTTTCTGTGGGTTCTTTTTTGTCATCTGCCCTGAACCTGTATGGAGTCAAAACCCAGAAGGACGAAATAAAGCAGGCAGAAATTCAGCAGGTACAGCCCTGTTTAGGAAGAACTACACACCCTTGCGATAGCCTATATTCTGGCAACGTGACTCCACCTGGCAGAGATATTATTGCAAGGTGCCCAGTCTTTCTTTCTTTCTTTCTTTCTTTCTTTCTTTCTTTCTTTCTTTCTTTCTTTCTTTTGCTTTCTTTCTTCTTTCTTTCTCTTTCTTCTTTCTTTCTCTTTCTTCTTTCTTTTTCTTTTTCTTTCTTCTTTCTTTCTCTTTCTTCTTTCTTTCTCTTTCTTTTTTTCTTTCTCTCTCTTCTTTCTCTTTCTTTCTTTCTTTCTTTCTTTCTTTCTTTCTTTCTTTCTTTCTTTCTTCCAAAGCAGTCTCCTCCTCTTGCTTCCAGACTGGCTGGGAATCATGGGCCCTGCAGTCCAAACCTGTTGCTCCTTCTCCCAGACAAAGAGGCTGAAAAACAGTTTTTAATCCCAGAGCTGTAACCATATGAAATACCACTGTATAAAGTGCAACGTTGACGTGCAACCTCAGCGCAAGGCAGGGTGAATAGAATGCGAAGGGTGTGTGTATATAACGCGTGTTCTAATGTGTGGTTTTGACGTGTGTGTAGGGCGCACTGTGGAAAGCCCTTAAATTTCGTTGTGAGTTACACAAGGGCAATAGAGATCTATTCTATTCTGTTCTATTCTACAGCAGGCCTGGTGGTTGCTAGGATGCACCCGTTGCCTAGCAACCCTGCTGTGGCTGCGGTTGCCAGGAGCTGGAGGGAACTACCACTCCCACAATGCCTAGCCTGAGATGGCGGGGGGGGGGGAGGCTGAGGTTGCCATGGCTGCCCCTGCAAACAATATGGCCGCCCCCAGCCCTGCTGGCTAGCAAGGAGCAGAGGCACCATGGCCCACGGAGACCTGGATGAGGAGAGCCTGAACGAGCTCTACACCTGGGTGGACGCCATTCCTCTCTCCCGGCCAAAGAGGAACATCACCCGCGACTTCAGTGATGGAGGTTTGGGGTGGGGGGCAAATGGGGGGAGGCATGAGTCTGGGAAGCAGACATCCCCAACCGGGCGCCCTCCAGAGCTGGCCAGTCTTCCTGCATCTTCAGCCCCCCCCCCCAACAAACATATACAACTTTCTGGAGGGCGCCCGGTTGGGGATGGCGGCCTCCACTGTTGCAGAAATCAAAGGCACTCTGGAGACCCCTCCCCTTTTAGCAACCTTCAGCCCCATTCTCCCCCCCCCACTTCCCACATCCAGCCCCTTTCTCTGGATCCAGATGGAGTAGGTGCTCCTTGGGGTGGAGACCCCTCCCCATGCAGGGAGGGTACTGGGCAGTGGGGGGTCTGCAGTGATGGGAAGACCCCCGGGGAACCCCCGTTAGTGCTTACAAGCTCCTCTTCAAGGGATGCCCTGCGAGAATCTGGCAAGGTTCCCCAAATTCGGCCACTTCCGGGTCTATGGACTTCCACTCCCAGGATTCCCCAGCCAGCATCGCCATTGCTGAGAATTCTGGGAGTTGAAGTCCACTCAGCCTTAATGGGTTGAGGAACATCGCATTAGGTCAGGACAGGGGTAGGCAACCTGGGCTCTTTTATGACTGGTGGACTTCAACTCCCAGAATTCCTGAGCCAGCCATGCTGAGGGGAAAGGGAGAAGTTTCCAAGCTGAGCTATGCTGGCTCAGGAATTCTGGGAGTTGAAGTCCACCAGTCATGAAGCAGCCAAGGCCTAGGCCAGAGTTGGCAACCGTGGCTCTTTTATGACTCCTGGACTTCAACTCCCAGAATTCCTGAGCCAGCCATGCTGAGGGGAAAGGGAGAGGTTTCCAAGCTGAGCCAGGCTGGCTCAGGAATTCTGGGAGTTGAAGTCCACATTGTCATGAAGGGGCCATAGGTCCCCCATGCTGGCTCAGGAATTCTGGGAGCTGAAGTCCACGAGTCATAAAAGAGCCAAGGTTGCTGGGTCAGGACAAGAACAATGTGGGAATACAGGTGTTTCTCGACCTACAAGTTCATTTAGTGACTTTCAAAGTTACAGTGGCACTGGAAATAAGTGACTCGTGACCATTTTTCACACGACCGTCACAGCAGCATCCCCGCGGTTAATTCCAATGCATGCCCACAGCCAGGCGATCCAAATTCAGACGCTTGGCCACTGACTCATATTTATGACGGTTGCAATGTCCTGAGGTCGCTTGATCCCGTTGGGCGACCTTCTCACCCGTCAAGTCAGCGGGGGAAGCCGAATTCACTTAACAACCCCGTGTTCCCAGCTGAACAACTGCGGTGATTCACTCAAGGACGGTGGCAAGGAAGGTCGTAAAATGGAGCCAGATCCCATTACAGTCGTAAGTTAAGGACGTCCTTCGTTTTTATCGCCCATCCAGTTCTGGTTGCCGAGGTGGTGAAGTTTTATTTTCCCAAAATGGTGGAAATGCACAATTACGCTCCAGCTAATTCCACACAACAGAAGCTCTCCAACTGGGGACACCTGAACAGGTCGGTATTCTACAGGTAAAGTCAGCATCCAAAATCACCCATCCCAGATCAACAGAGTTCAGCTGTGGTCCATTGGGACACGCCTCGCCAGAACGCTTTTAAGCCTGTTTTCTGGTGGTTTGGAAGCGTTAGATCCCCAAATGGCCCTGTGAATATTGATACACAGGAGGTCCTCGACTTACGACGGTTCGTTTACTGACCGTTCAAAGTTGCCGCAGCACTGAAAAAAGCAACGTAAGACCGTTTTTCGCCCTTACGGCGATCACTGCGTTCCTGTGATCACGTGATTTACAACCAACTCTTATTTATGACGGTCGCAGTGTCCCGGTGTCACATGATCCCCTTTTGCATCCTTCTGTCAAGCAAAGTCAACAGGGGAGTCAGATCCACTTAACGACCATGTTCCTAGCTTAATAACTGCAGCGATTTGCTTAACGACCCTGGCAAGAAAAATCTAAAACGAAGCAAAAGTCACCCCATGATCACGGGATCAAAATTCAGATGCTTTTCCAGGTGACTCAGACTTATGACAGCAGCAGTGTCCCTGGGGGGGGTCCCATGATCCCTTTTTGTGACTTTCTAACAAGCAAAGTCAATCAGGAAACGAGATTCATTTAACGACCGTGTCTGCGGTAATTCGCTTAACACTTGGTGCATGAAAGGTAGCAGACAAAATTCACTGAATGGAGGACTCACTTCGCGACTGAAATTTTGGGCTGAATTGTGGACATAAGTCGAGGACTAATTGTAGTGGGCCAGTGGGCCAAAATCTCCGTCGTATGGGAAGGTCTCCACCTGCCTCTTTCTGGGTGTGCCTAGAATAGAATAGAGCTGGAAGGGACCTTGGAGGTCTTCTAGTCCAGCCCCCTGCTCAAGCAGGAGACCCTATGCCATTTCAGACAGGTGGATGTCTGATCTCGTCTTAAAAACCTCCAGTGATGGAGCATCCACAACTTCTGGTGGCAAGCTGTTCCACTGGTTAATTGTCCTTAATGTCAGGAAATTCCTCCTTATTTCTAAGTTGCTTCTCTCCTTGATGAGTTTCCATCCGTTGCTTCTTGTCCTGCCTTCAGGCGTTTTGGAGAAGAGGTGGACCCCCTCTTCTTTCTGGTAGCCCCTCAAACACTGGAATACCCCTGCTCAGTTCCACGTCTCTTTTTCAGGAAAGTGTTGAGCAAATTGAATTTTTCCATCCCGGAGGACGTTGTCCGGAAGATTGCCCAGTGCACCCCAGGAGTGGTGGAGTTGGTGCTGATCCCGTTGAGGCAGAAGATTGAGGAGAAGCAGAAGCAAGCTAAGATGTCCACCAGCTCTTACCAGGTCAGTAGGGCTTGGGCAATGCTCATTTGAGCAAACGTGGACCTCTTGACGTCTTGTCTTTCCTTAGTCCACCCGACAGTCTTTCTTCTCCAACGTACAAGCAGGCTGTGCCACGAGAGACAGCAATTTCCCCCTAAACCAGGGGTAGGCAACCTTGGCTCTTTTATGACTCCTGGACTTCAACTCCCAGAATTCCTGAGCCAGCATGGCTCAGCTTGGAAACCTCTCCCTTTCCCCTCAGCATGGCTGGCTCAGGAATTCTGGGAGTTGAAGTGGAAACCTCTCCTCTTTCCCCTCAACATGGGGCTGGGCTCAGGAATTCTGGGCTCAGCTTGAATCTCTCCCTTTCCCCTCAATGGCTGGCTCAGGAATTCTGGGAGTTGAAGTCCACCAGTCATAAAAGAGCCCAGGTTGCCTACCTCTGGCCTAGGCCTCTTCGTGACTCGTGAACTTCAACTCCCAGAATTCCTGAGCCAGCATGGGGGAACTATGGCCCCCTCATGACTCATGGACTTCAACTCCCAGAATTCCTGAGCCAGCATGGCTCAGCTTGGGAATCTCTCCCTTTCCCCTCAGCGTGGCTGGCTCAGGAATTCTGGGAGTTGAAGTTCATGAGTCGTAAAAGAGCCAAGGTTGCCTACCCCTGGCCTAAACCTCTTGCGAATCTCATTGCAATGGGCAGCTAAATTTCTCTCGCTGGTTGGGGGATCCTTAACAGGAACCCACCAGATCCCGAAGGCAGAAAAGCCAAGGTTTTGAAAACAAAACGACTGTACAGGTAGTCCTTGATTTATGGACCTCAATTGAGCCAACATATTCATTGCTAAGTGAGTCGCATGTTGAGTGAGTGTTGCCCCATTTTACGATCTGTCTTTGCCATAGTTGTTAAGTGGATCACTTCCGTTGTTACGTTAGGTTGTTAAGTGAATTTGGCTTTCCCCTTGACTTGCTTGCCAGAAGATCACAAAAGGGGATCACGCGACCCTGGGACACTGCAACCGTCACAAGTACACGCCAGTTTCCGAGCCTCTGAATTTGGATCATGTGACGCTGCGACGGCCGCAAGTGTGAAAAGCGGTGTACTAGGTCACGTTTTTCATTGCCGTCGCAACATCCAACGGCCACTAAACGAAAAGTTGTAAGCCAAGGACTACCTGCTGTGTCGTGCAGCGCAAGCCCTTCAAACACACGGCAGGAACACACAGCGTGAGGTTGCTCCTCTCTGGGTTTCGACCTGGAACTTGTAGAGGAGATCCCCCGCCCAAGCAGGAGATCCAGGGAGATCCACACAGAGGGATCCATGTGGCATTTTCAGTCACAAACAGCAGAAGACACGTATTTTAGCTCCGGGAGGATGTCTCCAAGGATGGCCCCATGGTCAGACCATGGCAGTAGTCAACCTGCGAAATGGCCAGGGTCCAAATGATGGTCAGAAGGTCCCTCCCAATTTAGGAACTCTCTGAATCCAGCTTGAAAGGTGATGGGGGGGGGATAATGGCAAACATATCTCCCCCTCCCTCTCTCTCTCTTTCTCTCTCTCTCTCTCTCTCTCTCTTTTCTTTCTTTTTACACTGTCTTTCCTTCTTCTTCTGCTTCTTTCCAGGGCCGGCCACCAACTCCTCTGGGCTGCTGCAGCCTTTGCTCCTTCCCGACTCCGTTGCCCCAGGTTTATGCCTTTTGCCACTTCCTTTTTACTTGCCTGGAGACACACCTTGCTGTTTTCCCTCTCTCTGTTTGTCTAAATCAGTGTTTCCCAAACTTGACAATTTTAAGGCATGAGGACTTCAACTCCCAGAATTCCACAGCCAGCAACGCTGGCTGTGGAATTCTGGGAGTTGAAGTCCACATGCCTTAAAATTGTCAAGTTTGGGAAACACTGGTCTAAATCAAAAGCCACAAAAAGGTGGGGAAGGGAGGGGGTGATCTTGTCAGATGCTGCTTGTTTTAAGAAAAAAAGGGGGGTTGTTTTGAAAGGGTCACCACCTTTCAGGTCAGGGGGTCTCCAAACCTGGCAACTTTCTGGACTTCAACTCCCAGAATTCCCCAAACAGCAGGAGGAGCTGACGTCCACAAGTCTCGAAGTTGCCAGGTTCGGAGGGACACCAGACCTGGACCGATACAGGAAGTCCTCAAATTAGGGCAGAGGACCCCAACCTATGGGCCGCGGTGCATTACTGGGCCGTGGCCTCTTGGCCCTCAGTCCACGTGAGTAGCTGGGCAGTGCACACGTGTGTGCGCGTGTGCTCACCCCCTCGTCCCATCATTGCCGCAAGTGTTGTGCATGTGGTGGCAGTGATGCTAGTATCCTACGGGTGGTGGCATTGCCACAAATCTTGCACAGGTGATAGCGCGTGACATGGGCGGTAGCACCACATGCAGGCAGCGGTATTGCCGCTAACCTTGTACAAGTGATGGCATCTCTGCAGGCCACAACACAAGCCTGGTGGGCCACGGCGCGAGCCTTGTGCAGGGGCGGTGGTAGTCTGATGCTTGTGGTGGTGGCAGCATTGCTTTGGGCCATGGCATAAATCTTGCAAGCGGCGGCAGCGAAGCAATCCTCGCACCGGTGGGGGCATTGCCGCAAGTCTGGTGGGCGGTGATGCCACAACCCTCACACAGATGCCGGTGTCGCTGACAATGTTGCGTACATGCTCGCAGCCCCGTTTGCGTGCTGCGCATGCTGGCAGCCTGTTTGTGCCTGCACGCGCCTGTAGCCACATTCATGTTTGCCCATGTGTGTGTAGAGTGCCTGCCCTTCCCTCTCACATCAGGCCGCCAACCCAGAAAGATTGGAGACCCCTGTATTGTAGCCCTGGTGGGACAAGGCAACGTAGACCAGTGGTTCTCAACCTGTGGGTCGGGACCCCATTTAGGGTCGAACGACCATTTCAAGACTGTCCGCCATTTTTCCCCCCTTTTTTGGCCACGACCCTGGCACTCGGTGATGTATAAGTGGTTGGGGGTCACCACAACATGGGGAACTGTATTATGGGGTCGCGGCATTAGAAAGGTTGAGAACCACTGACGTAGACTTACAGGTAGAGCTGTCCAGAGTCCTGAAATGCAGGTGGCCCATACAGGCAGTCCTTGATCTATGACCACAATTGAGCCCAAACTTTTGGTGCCAAGCAGGACGGTTGTAAAGTGAGCTTTGTCCCATCTTACAATCTTTCTTGTCACAGTTGTTAAATGTCACAGCAATTAAAATATAGGACATAGAATAATGGAAGGGAGCTTGGAGGTCTTTTAGTCCAGGGGTAGGCAACCTTGGCTCTTTTATGACTCGTGGACTTCAATTCCCAGAATTCCTGAGCCAGCACAGGGAACACTTTGGCCTCCTCATGACTCGTGGTCCCGACTCCCAGAATTCCTGAGCAGGCTTGGCTCAGCTTGGAAACCTCTCTCTTTCCCCTCAGCATGGCTGACTCAGGAATTCTGGGAGTTGAAGTCCACGAGTCATAAAAGAGCCGATGTTGCCTGCCTCTGGCCTAGGCCTAGGCCACTTTATGACTCGTGGACTTCAACTCCCAGAATTCCTAAGCCAGCACGGCTCAGCTTGGAAACCTCTCCCTTTCCCCTCAGCATGGCTGACTCAGGAATTCTGGGAGCTGAAGTCCACGAGTCATAAAAGAGCCAAGGTGGCCTACCCCTGTTCTAGTCCAACCCCCTGCTCAAGCAGGAGACCCTCTACCATTCCAGATAAGTGACTATCCAGTCTCTTCTTAAAAACCTCCAGTGACAGAGCACCCACAACTTCTGGTGGCAAGTTGTTCTACTGACCGATGGTTCTCGCCATTAGGAAATTTCTCCTGAGTTCTAAGTTGCTAGTTGTGAAGTTAGTAATCCGGCTGTGGCTTGTCAGAAGGTGACAAAAGGGATCACAGGAACCCCGGGACGCTGCGACCGTCCTAAACACGTGCCGGTGGCCAAGTGTCCAAATTTTTTTCATGTGACCCTGGGGAGGCTGCAACGGTTGTGAGCATGCAAAACGGTTGTGTCATTTTTTTTTTCAGTATCTTTATAACTTTGAGCAGTCCCTGAATGAATTGCCGTACGTTGTGCACTGCCGCTCGTTTTGAGCAGTAGTGTACACAGTTACAGTATAACTTGGGCAAGAAACACCTAAAACAGTGTTGGTGAAACCTTTGGGCTTCACGTATCAAAAATTAGGGAAATGTCTAACTTCTGATTTGTGTGTGTGTGTGTCACACACACACACACACACACACACAAACATCCCAAACAAATGAGAAACATTTCTCTATCTTCCTCCTATCTGAACAGTGGCACTCAGGGGCAATGCCAAAGCAGAAGCAGAAATCCAAGCCTTATCTTCAGCCTTAGTGCCCCCACTACCATCAAAACATGGGGGGGGTGTTCCAGAGGTCATGAGACAGCCCAGCCCTCTCCTACAACGTCCAAAGGCCGCAAGGACGCATTCCCCATTCTCATGTAGCTTCTGCAGCCTCCAAAAATCATGCAGAACGGGGCATGCTTCTGAGAACGGTTTCAAGTGAACACTGGTGTGTGTCACTCAAAACATCACTGCGTATCACCTTTGACGCGCGTGTCACAGGTTCACCGTCACTGATCTAGAACCGAGGTCCCCAACCTTTTGGGCACCAGGGACCACCAGTTCCGTGGAGAAAAGCTTTTCCACGGACTGGAGGGGGTATGGGTTTGTGTGCTGCCTGCATCCCACGGATGGGGCTTTGCTTGTTTGTGCGGCCCGGTTGGTGGCATGATGTGGCCCGGTACTGGTTCACAAACTGGGGGTTGGGGACCCTGATCTAGAAGTTCTGCACATTCCTGCCTCTCCACAGGCCAAATTCACCAGGATGATGTTCTATGTTGCCTGTCCTGTGTGTGTTGAGTCATGTTGACTAGTGGCTGTTGACTTCTTAGCTCTGCAGAAGGAGCTGAAGCCCCCTTAGGCCCTCTGTGAGCAAGTTTAGATTTGTGCCTGAGGGCTATTGGAATTAAAAAAAACAAAATATTAGTAGAGGAAGCACTATCCTGAGCAGGATGTCAAGGAGCAGAAGAGGACTCTCTTGTTTTGCTCCGAAACAAAGGATCTCGGCAGAGAGATTCTCAAAGGGTTTCTATAATCTCCCTGGAGGCCCAATCTGATCACGGCTGTTGTTGGAGATTGTGCAAAGCTTTCTGCTTAATTGAGAAAGCTTGGAAACACACCAAGGATCCACCCGAAGGAGAAAAAAGAGGCCAATTGTAATTGGAGGATAACTCAAAGGCAGATTAGATTAGATTAGATTAGATTAGATTAGATTAGATTTTTTTAGATATTAGATAACCTTTATTGTTTTTTTTTTAACTGTGGGCACAACGGCACACATTAAAAATGAAATTTAGTTGCTCTCAAAGCGTACACCTACATAACACACATTTAAACATACTCTATACAACAGTGGTTCTCAACCTATGGGTCGGAACCCCATTTGGGGACAAACGACCATTTCACGGGGGTCGCCAAACAAGGCTGTCCGCCATTTTTCCCCCTTTTCTTTGACCACGCCCCTGGCACCCAGTGATGTATAAGTGGTTGGGGGTCACCACAACATGGGGAACTGTATTATGGGGTCGCGGCATTAGAAAGGTTATACTGCTATACAACATATGTGTAGACCTACACCCTTACGGATAAGTAACATGTAATAGTGGGATTCAAATACCTGGAACAACCGCTTCTCTGCGTGGACGCTGCTTCCGGAAGTTCATTCTGGACCTGGGCCTCTGAGGCCCAGAACGGACTTCTGGAAGTGGCATCCACGCACTTCCGGTGGGCCGTTCTGGGCCTGGGAGGTCTCCCTGGCTCAGAACGGACTTCCGTAAGTGGCATCCACGCACTTCCGGTGGGCCGTTCTGGCCCTGGGAGGTCTCCCTGGCTCAGAACGGACTTCCGTAAGTGGCATCCACGGACTTCCGGCGGGCCGTTCTGGCCCTGGGAGGTCTCCCTGGCTCAGAACGGACTTCCGGAAGTGGCATCCATGAACTTCCGGTGGTCCGTTCTGGCCTGTGAGGTCTCCCTGGCTCAGAACGGACTTCCGGAAGTGGCGTCCATGCACTTCTGGTGGTCCGTTCTGGGCCTTGTGAAACAGGGCTAGGGCTTCAGCCGGTTTGCCGAACTCAACCCAGAATTAGCTACCGGTTCTGCCGAAGAGGTGCGAACTGGCTGAATCCCGCCACCGGTAACATATAAATATCTATCACTGTCCACGTTAAATACATAACGGAAGGAGGAAGCTTGAGGGTTCACAAGGTTAATGCTGTATGGCACAAAACTTTGACCGAATCTGGATGTTCTGCTCCAGATACCACGAAGCCCCCCCTCCTCCCAGACGGTATTATTGGTGGTGCCGCTGGTTCTCCGTTGGATCCCAGCTCAGAAAAAAAGGCAAAGGCTTGCTGGCCGTTGATCAAAGCCGAGCTGAATCTAGGGAACGAAAGTCGAACCCCAGCACTGGTTGCCTTGGACGTTCTCGCCCCAAAGGTGCTTTCTTGGACTTGCCTTGAAGATGTTTCGCTTCTCGTCCGAGGAGCTTCTTCGGTTCCTCAGCTCAGCTCAGCACCTTCAGTGAAAACCACCAAGAGAGTCCAGTGGCCTTTTGGAAAGGTCACGCCATCCCCTTTGACAGCTGCAATGAGTCACTTAATAATTGGGGCCAGGGAGGCCGTAAAATGGGGCAAGACTTGCTTAGCAACAGAAATGTGGGGCTCCATGGTGGCTGTAAGTCGAGGACTGCCTGAAGGGCATAAACCCCCTTCTCCGTTGGAGGAGATCGCTGCCTGGAAAGCTCTGGTCTGCTCTTGAAGCCCCCCTCCTCTTCTCAAGACAGCCGCTTCCAGGCCTTGCACAGGCCAGGTCACCGGTCTGTTTCCGTGACTTCTCCCTGGAATGGCAGGTTGAGGGAAGGGCACTCTTGGGGTGGTGGAGCAGGGAGGACAAGGGGGGGGCATAGCATTCGACGTGCAAGCCTCTCTCCCTCTCTCTCGAAACAGGACCTGGGCATGCGCGCCATTGTGGAAGAGAACAGCTACATGGAGACAGGTAGGGCGGGCAGGGCAAAGGTGGGCGGAGCCTGTTTTCATGCCTAAGGCAGGACTCGAACTCACTGCCTCCCGGTGATTGGCCCAAAGTTATCCAGCTGGCTTTCCTGATTAAGGGTGGGGGACTAGAACTCACCGCCTCCTGGTGGATGGTGGGATAAAAATCTAATAAATAAAATAGAACATAAATGAAGATGTGTCCGTGGTTAAAAAGACCCCCCCTTTAAAAATTCAAAAGAGGGTCTGCAAGCAGAGAGCTCTGGGTGAGGAGGGGGTGTCGAAGGTCCCTTCTTGGGGGGGGTTTCTCCTTTAATCCCTCTCTGGCATTTCACAGGCTACACGTCAAAGTCCAAACCCGACAGCACCGGGGTTTACACCAAGGACTCTCCTGGCTCGGAAGGGTGAGTAGCTGAGGCTGCCCCCTTCAGGTGGGTGTCTTGAACCCCGGACCGGGGAATCCGGCAGGTGGGGGGGGTGTCGAGGGATCTCTTTTCTCCTTTTCTGCCCTGTTGAATTGCAGCCCAGGGCAGTCGAGAACACGGGTAGTCCTCGACTTACGACCGCAATGGACCCCCAAATTTCTGTGGCTAAGCGGGACAGTTCTTAAGCGAGTTTTGCCCCCATTTTACGACCGTCCTTACGGCGGTCGTTAAGCGAATCACCAACACTTTTGAGTCAGTAACGCGGTCGTGAAGCGAATCTGGGCTTGCGCTTCGACTGCTTGTCAGAAGGCTGCAAAAGAGGATCGTGTGACACACACACACACACACACACACAGACACACACACACCTGGGCACACTGCAAACTGTCATAAATACGAGCCAGTTGCCGGGCACCCGAATTTTGATCGTGTGACACTGGGGTTGCCGCAACGGTCGTTCGGTGTGGGAAAAAAAAAAACCGGTCACAACTCACTTTTCCCAGTCCCGTTGTGACTTTCGAACCGTTGCCAAACAAAACGGTCGTAAGCCGAGAACTAGCTGTAAAGCAGGCCTGCGGGCAAGTGCCCTAGAGAAGGCACCAAAGGAGAGCCAGGGCTCTTCCAGGACTTCTTCCAGGGGTGGTGGTGGTGGTGGCCGATGGAACTCCCTGCCACTAGAGGGGATCGTGATGCCTCTAAAGTGGGTTCCGGCCCTTTCCGGGAAGAGAAGAGAGCCAGGCCGGGGACAGGCCAGGTGAAAATGTCTGCCGAACATCTGGAAGCATCTGGGCTCCCGTCTTTCTTGGAATGGAGAGTCTCGAACTCAGTTTCCTAGGATGGGGTGGGGTAGGGTGGGGGGCTGACGGGGAGGTCTTCTCTGCATGCAATGGGGAGGTCCACAATTTGTGGGGCGTCACGCTCTGTGTAACGGCTCTCCACTTGCAGGGGGCCCAAGGCACAGCCGGGCTACCTGGCGCCGCTGCAAACCAACGCCCACCTGCGCCTGCACCTGGCCGAGCGGGAACAGGCCCTGCTGGCTTCCCAGGAGACCATCCAGGTGAGGGCAGGCGGTGTCTCACCTGGCACCCACGGATGGCACAGGTGGGGGGGCAGGATTTGCTCAGCCACCTCTTCTGCTCCTGGCCCTCTCAGTTCCCCCCTGTCCGCCGTTTCCAAGGGCCAAGTCTTCCCAGAAGCCCCTGCAGGGCAAAGAGACGGTTGAGAGAGGGAAGGGACGGGAGAGAGGCAGTTGGGTCTGCAACCTTGACCACTTTAAGACTTCAGCTCCCAGAATTCCTCAGCCAGCTGTGCATTCCTTTGGATGTGTATCCTCATTGTGGCCGGCTTATTCTCTTGCAAATCCCTTTCTCTGCAATCTCTCCACTCCAGAGGACGGAATAAAAAGAAACAGGCCTGGCTGGTTGGGGAAATTCTGGGAGCTGAAGTCCACAAGACGTAAATGTGGTCAAGGTCGCAGACCTCTGGTCTAGTTAATGTGGAATAATAATGAACAATCACTAAAATAATGATGGGTCTGCATAATTACTGGAATAATGCTGTGTTAGCAGTACGTGACTAACCTAATGCACATTGCACTTGGATACAATGTATGTAGCAAACTCTCCATTGTAGACCCGTGAGAAACGGACCTACTGTATCACAATGTGTATTAGAATGTGTAGTCTTTTGTTCCTGAGAAAAAGAAAGTATAAAACTGAAGTCTGAATCCGCCCTCGGGGTTCAGAATTGCTGGTTGCTTTTGCTTCCGAACCTGCGCAATAAATCTCTCTGCTAAACCCTCTGGAATGGGTAAGAGTCCTTGCGTTTTCCACAAGAGAGTGGTTAGCGCACCAGGCTTGCCCCGCGGGAAAGGCTGAGTCCTAGCCCATGTCAGGTGATCCAAATTCAGCCACTTGGCGACCGTCTCCTATTTACGACGGTCGCAGCATCCTGGGCTCGCCCGATCCCCCTTTTGCAACCTTTTCAGCATCCAAGTCAGGGGGGGGGCGCGAAGACAGATTCACTGAACAACCCCGTTTTATTCATTTAACAACGGCGGGGATTGGCTTAACAGCCCAGGCCAGGAAAGGATGTAACCTGGGGCCAGACCCTCTCGCTTAGCGCTGCTCGTAAGGCGAGGACCGCCCGTATTAGCCAAATCCTCCCTTACTTTCTCCCTGGAGGAAGAGCTGTGGGTCAAGAGTTTCCTGGGTGGGTGAGGGTGGGTGGGTGGGTGAGTGGGTGGGTAATGATAATATAGTCATGGTAAATGCTTGGGCATTTCCCTTATGCTGCGTTCATGTGTGTGAGAGGGATGAGAAGGGGAGGAAGGAGTAGGGAGGAAGTAGGATGGTTAGAGGAGAAGGGGAGGGGAAGAGAGTAGGAGGGGAGGAGAGAAAGAGGAGGGAAGTGGGGAAGGATTAGAAAGGGTGGACGCAGCCTGGGGGGAATGGGCAGGCGGTACCAATGGTTAGGAATTTAATTGTATTTTGTATGAATAAATGGAAAATAAAAACTTTTTAATAATAATAATAATAATATTGGTACTACCCTTGCTTGCTATTGGTACTACCCTTGCTTACTGTGGCAAAAGCAAGCAAGGGTAGTACCAATAGTCATAGGCTCCTTGGGTGCAATCCCAAAACAACTGGAGCACCACTTGAACACAATTGGCATTGACAAATTCGCTATTAGTCAATTGCAAAAGGCGGCCTTACTAGGAACTGCTTCCATCCTGCGACGATATCTGTAATACCATCAAACATCCACCTCTGCCTATCCAGGTCCTGGGTAAGGACTCGATAGGTAGACAAAATGCCAAATCCAGTCTGAACATCTGGCTGACTGTGCGATGATCGATAATAATAAATAATAATAATAATAAAGAGTTTCCTGGGACTCTTCGGAAGCAGCCTCGCACCGGGGAGGGAGGAAGGGTCCCTGGGGGTCCGGGGGTGATGGTGGTGGTCTTGGTTCCTCTCCCTGCTGCTTCTGAGGAAGACGGCCTCTCCCCTTAGATTCTGCAGATGAAAATCCGCAGGCTGGAACACCTGCTCCATCTGAAGAACGTCCGGATCGATGACCTCAGCCGGCGCCTGCAGCAAGCGGAGCCCAAGCGGAAGTGAAGACCCCTCCCTCCCAGCTGTGCTTCTCCAAGCGGGAGTGAAACACACACACAAACACACCCACACACACCCCGTCCCAGCTGTGGTTCTCCCTGCAGAGGCTCCCTCCGTCCTTCGAGCGCCCACCGCTTTGCTTTGCGGCCCTCCAGCATGGCTGAGATGTTGGAAGCCGAAGGTCTTCCGGCTTGGGAAGGGCAAAGTTTGGTCCAGCCGGCGGCCCCAAAACCCGAGTCTTGGGGAGACCCTTCCCAGAGGAAAGAAGGCCTGGGTGACGTGGAGACATTCAGACACTTTCTCCAGAAGAGCCCAGGAGAAGCCGGGCCCCTCCAGCCCCCCACCCACCCCGTCTCCGGGCACCCTCATGTCTGTCTCCTGGAGTTGCAGGAGACCCCAGGAAAAGTTCTCCTGCTTGGATCTGTAGGCAGCCAGGGAAGGAGCCCGCGATAACAGTGGATACGGACTTTCTGGCCTTGCAGAAGAATATCGGGAACAGAAGAATCCTTTAGCCAGGATTGCCCCAGATTTGGCTCTGTTGGGAGGTCAGAAGTTGGCTTGGAGCCTCCTCCTCTTCCTCCTCCTCCTCTTCTTCTTCTGAAGCTCAAGCCATCGTAGCTGCTGTTCTCCTTGCTGATGACTCCAGAAGAGAGAAGAACCCACCAGCATGGCTGCGGATAGACTTATGGACAGCCAGGAGGACAACCGAGTTGGTCCTACCCAAGATGAAGTCTTGAGCTCCATGTAAGGGAGGAAAACCCTGGGGGAGAGAGAGAGAGAGAGAGAGAGAGATGTGTGTTTGTGTGGAGGAGAGGTATTCTGTTCTCCCTAGGAAATGCACAATCCAGCTAATAGAATGTCCTTCTCCAGTGGGTTGAGGTCCTTCTACTGTTCCAGATTGCTTCTTGCCAGGAGGCTATTTCTGGACCCTCTATTCTCCCTTGCCCACCTTCAGACACTTGAGCGGGTCCCATGGCTACCTCCCCTTCCCCAGCCCCAGTTGGGGAACGCCTGCTGGAGGCTTCTGCTGGTCGTCCCTTCTGAGGTCGTCTAACGGGAAGGTGGTCTTCAAAGGCTTGGCATGACCTCAGCTTCCTTTCTTGACTCTCTGACCTTATGTGCACAAATTCCTAGCACAAATCCAACCGGAGCAGACTCCCCTCCCCACCCCCCCACCTCCACCCCCACCCCGTTCTGCCTTCCTGCAGACAAGGGGGTGGGCGTCTTTGTGAAGACACTGATTGAGGTCCGTAGGTGGCCACCGGCTGAATCAAGGCATGTCCCAGAGAAGATGCTGTTTCCCCTCCCCCCAACACCCCTCTGTAGAGCTCAGGAGCCAAATATGGGGTGGGACTGCCTGTCTGAGCATAAGCCTGCTTTTTTTTTTTTTTTCACACACCCAATTCACACCATTTGAATTTGGGAAAGAGGAGGAGAAGGTTGCGAGAAGAACCGAGATGGCTGAGATCAAAGCAAGGCTTGGCCCTCAACCCATCAAAGTGACCAATGGGGCCTGGGTCAAAGGCTTGCAGCCTCCATACAGTGTTCAAAGAGACTATTAATGGTCCAGATGTTGGACTCACCTTGTGCCCACCACTGCACACAAACACACATACATACACACACACACACCATCCTCCTCTAGGTTTAAAGGCGAAGATGGAAGTGATGGCTTCGTTCCTTGGAGATGCACGGAGATGGGAGGGAAGGGAAGGGAAAGAAAAGGTAAGTCAACTCTTCAGAGGTCACCTCCTAGCCATAGTCAACAAGTGTTTGACCCAGCCTCCATTGGTCATTTGGAAGGGTTGAGGGTGAAGTTCTCTGAACGGCCTTGCTTCAATTGTGGCCATCTCAGTTCTTCTGGCGACGTTCTCCCCCCCTCCCGTTTCCCAAAGCCCCCCCCCCTCCGAGGAGGTCATCAATCCAATTTAGAAGCACATCCGGCAGAAAGGAACCTTCGCACTTCCTCCTGTTGCCCTCCACACCTTGGAGGTGAGGTGGGAGGCACAACTTCCCAGGGGTTCTGCGGAGGTGCCAGCGTGAGGTGTGAGTGTTCTCACAACTGTTGTTGACGCTGGTGCTGCTGCACAGGAAGAGAGGGTGTGTGTGTGTGTGTGTGTGTGTGTGTGTGTGTGTGTGGAGGGGGGGAGTGAGTAGGAAATCCTTGGAAGGGAGCAGATAATAGTCCACTATGTCAACCTCCCTCCACAATCCCAAATCTTACTGGGAGAAGTGGGGGCGTCCTATAGGGAGGGGAGCTGAGCGTTAAGACACTTTGAGGGCCCGCACAAAGATGGAAGGAGAAAAGGAGAAGGGGTCTACATTTGTTGGACCTCCGAACCATTCCTCAAAGCGGGATTAGCTACGATCCAACAGGCTGTCTCTCTGGTCTCTTGTAGGACCTGTGTGGGTGGCTGTTTTTAAATTGTCCCGTGGGATCATTTTCCTTCAGGAAAGTTGCATTCCTCCCCAGCCCTCCATTAGTGCCTTCTACACACAATGGCTTCCAGCAGGATCCCCTGTGGATCCCCGTGGCTTAATACGGTTACTCCCACGTGGCCCTGCAGATAGCACCCCCTAAGTGCCTTCAACTCAGTTCAGGAGGAGCTCTCGGTCTAATGGCGGCTTCAGGGGTTCCCATACAGTTCTCTGGGTTTGGGTTTCCCGTTTGGCCGTCCTAATAAGGGCGCAGCCAAGTTTGGGGTAACTTCTGCCTCCCTTCTGATGATCTTTCCCTGCAATGGAACGGACAGAGGGCTCTCCAGGGTCTTGTGAACAGCCCGGATACTTCAAATCTCTCTCCAGCCTGGAGAGGAATTGAGGCTATCTTTTGAGAAACGGATAGGCTTATGATTCCAAAAAGCTCATTTATCCTGGCTAAGCCACACGGGGTGGGGGGAGGTTTTCTTGGTGGTGATGGGTGGGTGGGTGAGTGGGTCTGTCTCGAGTTTTGGCAGGTGCCAGAAAACAAAACAAAATAAGACAAAACCAAATCCAGAGGGTGTCATCCCCTGACTGGGCAGCAGAGGGCGCTTTGATCTGGGATTATCAGTTTCAAACAGCTGTGGCTATGGGCCCAATCAGCTGCTTTTGTGCGGGGCCAGCCCTACCCTGGCCCATTTTTCTCTATGATCACGCGGCTTCCTTCTGTAAAGGTAATTTCTGCCTGCTTTTCAGCATTAAATACTTTAATCCTCCGTTCCCTCTCTTTTTTGTGGGAGGGTTGGGGTGTTGGTAGCAAACAGGACGCCCAAAAGAGGGCGTGTGGCTCAAAATGTCCCTTGAAATGTTCCTCCCCCACCCCAATCCTGCATCCATCTGCAGATTGTGCAAATGGCTCAGGATCACTGTGACCTGACTAGAAGAGAATAGAATAGAACAGAACAGAACAGAACAGAACAGAACAGAACAGAATAGAATAGAATAGAATAGAATAGAATAGAATTAACAATAGGAAAGAATTAGAATAGAATAGAATAGAATAACGATAGAATAGAATATAACAGAACAGAATAGAATAACGATAGAATAGAATAGAATAATGATAGAATAGAATATAACAGAACAGAATAGAATAATGATAGAATAGAATAGAATAGAATGATAGAATAAAATAGAATAGAATAGATTGTAGAATAGAACAGATTATAGAATAGAATAGAATGATAGAATAGAATAATGATATAGAATAGAACAGAACAGAATAGAATAGAATAATGATAGAATAGAATAGAATAATGATAATAGAATAGAATAAAACAGAACAGAACAGAATAATGACAGAATAGAATAAAATAGAATAGAATAGATTGTAGAATAGAATGGAATAGAATAGAATAGAATAGAATAGAATAATAATAGAATAGAATAGAATAGAATAGAATAGAATAATGATAGAATAGAATAATGATAGAATAGAATAGAACAGAACAGAATAATGATAGAATAGAATAGATTGTAGAATAGAACAGATTATAGAATAGAATAGAATAGAATAGAATAGAATAGAATAGAATAGAGCTGGAAGGGACCTTGGAGGTCTTCTAGTCCAGCCCCCTACTCGAGCAGGAGAACCTATATACCATCTCAGACAGGTGATTGTCTAGTTTTTTTTCTTAAAAACCTCCAGTGATGGAGTGCCCGCAATTTCTGGGGTAAGCTGGGAGTTGAAGTCCATGAGTCATAAAAGAGCCAAGGTTGCCTACCCCTGGTGTAGGTTCTCCTACTTGAGCAGGGGGTTGCAAGCTCCCTTCCAACTCTTGTTATTCTGTTATTCTTTTCAGGGAGATGAAATGCACAATTGTGAACATTAAAACCCTTCCCAGAAATAGTCTTGTTTTTGTGGAAAAGGTTACGTTTTCTTGCTGTGGGCCTTGCAAGCATAAAACCGTCCTGAAGGCAGTTAAGGTGAACAGAAGTTCTTTGGAAGGGACCACAATTCCAATGGGGTCCTCCCACCTCCCCCCCCCCCCCCGCCGATCACGTCTAATTGCTGAGCATCAAATTACAAGTGGGAGAATCAGGAAGTCTCCATAAAACGACCATCTGTGGACGTGGGCAGCCTCCTGGGGAAAACCTCATCCTGAAATAGGTCCAATTAGGTCTGTCCCACCCACTCACCCCCCATAATGCTAAATATGCAGGAAAAGCCTGGCCAAAAAAACCGGTAGGTTAGAACAATTAACCCGTGGAACAATCTGCCTCCAGAAGCAGTGAATGCTCAAACACTGGAAGTTTTTAAAGAAGAGACTGGACAGCCATTTGTCTGAAATGGTATAGGGTTTCTTGCCTGAGCAGGGGGGTGGACTAGATAACCTCCAAGGTCCCTTCCAACTTTATTATTATTGTTGTTGTTGTTGTTGTTGTTAGGTTAGTCCACTCTGTTGAGTTCCCCGTAGCTACCATGGGTTGGGAAAGTTGGACCTTAAGAAAGCAAAACAAAATGAAATTCAACGGTCACAAAATGAAATTCAAGCGGTGAAAAAAAGTAAGGTTCTGCATTTAATAATAATAATGATAAAGTTGGACGGGACCTTGGAGGTCATCTAGTCCAGCCCCCTGCTCAGGCAGGAAACCCTATTTCAGACAAATGGCTGACCAGTCTCTTCTTAAAAACTTCCAGTGTTGGAGCATTCACCGCTTCTGGAGGCAGGTGGTTCCACTGGTTAATTGTCCTCACTGTCAGGAAGTTTCTCCTGAGTCCTAGTTTGCTTCTCTCCTTGGTGAGTTTCCATCTGTTGCTTCTTGTCCTGCCTTCAGGTGCTTTGGAAAAGCAAATGCACAGGTACAGTATAGGTGGTACCTGGCTCAGTAGTAGCAACTGTGAGAGGAGTCTTGAAGTGGACGATCCCTTAAATAGGAGCCAGCCGTGTGTTGCAACTGCCAAAAAAGCCAACACAGTTCTAGGCTGCATTAACAGAGGGATAGAATCAAGATCACGTGAAGTGTTAATACCGCTTTACAAGGCCTTGGAAAGGCCACACTGGGAATAGGGCATCCAATTCTGGTCACCACAATATCCAAAAAGATGTTGAGACTCTGGAAAGAGTGCAGAGAAGAGCAACAAAGAGGATCAGGGGACTGGAGGCTAAAACATATGAAAATCACTGGAGACTTTTAAGAAGAGATTGGACAATAGGGTCCCCTGTCCTAGAATAGTGGTCCCCACCAGCCCGGTTCTGAACGGGCCACACCCCCGTACTAGGATTGGGGACCCTTGGACCAGAAGACTGCCAAACTCTTTTCCAATTCTGTCATTTTTTAAAATTCTTCCGTCTAGCTTTTTATCAGCAGAGAACTTTGTAGGGAACGAAACTCCACCTCGTCCCGCTGGCCGGCCTGCCTTCCCAAATCCGAGCTGACCACCTGGGTGGACGTGGGGTCCAAGGATCAGGGCTTCTTCCCGGCTGCCTCTTCCAAAACAGAACTGCCTGGTTCTGAAGGCAGCCAGCACCCCCAGGGACTGTGTTTCCTGCAACATTGACCTTTGAACCTTTTGCTGGGACTTCGGGCCCCCAAATTCCCAGCTGGCCTGACTTTTGTCCTGGCGCAGTTGAGGAAAGCTCGATAAACAACTGGAATACCAGACGTTTTCCTGTCTCTGCCGTTGCACCATTGCCCTGCATCAGGGAGAAGGAGGCTGTGTTAGCCACTCGGTCCCAGCAGGGAAGTTTCTGGATTCCCCCACGAGGACTAGGACCCATCTGGTTCCCAGTATCGTTTATCCTCTCCCCCTAATGTCCTAATGGATGGGGGGGGGCAGGAGTAGGTCACCACTAGCCAGCAAAAGGCCTTTGTTTCCTTTTTCTGGGTTACCAGACTTGGTCTGCCTGGGGGCGCCATGATACAGATGTGGAAACTTTAGAAAGAGTGCAGAGAAGAGCAACGGAGAGGATCAGATTGTACAAAATTGATTGTACAAAATTCTAGTTGATTGTACAAAATTCTAGTTGATTGTACAAAATTCTGCTTAGGATTGAATATTGCTTTGATCTGACTTCTGTCTTGGTTGCTGGCTTTGCCTGGTGTTTATTAGAGTCATTCTCAGGGTCCATTACATCTCTTTCCTTCTCACTTTTCTTTTTCTTTCTTTCTTTCTTTCTTTCTTTCTTTCTTTCTTTCTTTCTTTCTTTCTTTTCCTTTCTTCCTCTTTCTTCCTTTTCCTTTTTTCTTTCTTTTTTTTGTTTTCTTTCTTTTTCTCTCTTTTTTCTTTCTTTCTTTCTCTTTCTTTCTTTCTTTCTTTTTCTTCCCTTGTTTTCCTCTGTTTTCCCTTCCTTCATCTTTCTCCCTCCCTCCCTCTCCTGTCTTTCATCCCTCCCTCTTTCCCTTTCTCCTGTCCTTCCTTCCTTCCTTCCTCCCCTCCCCTTTTCTTTCCTCCCTTTTCCCTTCCTTCCTTCCTCCATCTCTTTCTCCTGTCTTTCTCTCCCCCTCCCTCCACTCCTGTCTTTCCTCCATTCCTCTTTTCCTTTCTCTTCCCTCCCTCTGTCCCTCTTCTTTTTCTTTCCTCCCTCCCTTTCCTTCATCCCCTCCCTTTTCTCTTTCTTCCTCCTCCTTTTGTTATTTTTCTCTTCCTTTATTTATCTTCCTCCTTTTCTTGCCTGCTCCTTTCTCCTTCTACCCCCCCCTCCCCGCCCCGCTTCTTCCACAAAGTGCAGCTGTATACATAACATTTCCCCCTGACAGACGTATTTTTGAATTTTAAACGCTCGATTGCAAACGGCAGTCCAGGTTTTGCAATAACAGGAAGCGGAAAAGGTATCTGAAACAGGCATAAATCAACAGCACAACTGGGGCGGACACCCCAGGCCCTGAAACTGCTTGCCTCCCGCCCTGCTCCCCCCACCCCCAGCAATGAGCAGGTGTTCGTGCAAGAGGAGCAAACGCAGAGACGCCCCAAACTTAAGTTTGCAATGGAACGTGCCAATAAAGGAGAAACAACAGTCCTGGATGCTCTCTGAACTGGCTTGTTTTCTTGCAGATGTTTCATGACCCAACTAGGTAACATGAGAGATGTTAGGAGGGAGGAGGGATTGTGAGGAGGAGGAAAAGACTGTGGGGTCCTTGGTGTTCTCTGAGCTGGGTGGTTTTCTTGCAGACGTTTCATGACCCAACTAGGTAACCTTATCAGTGCTAGATTGGAGGAAGAGGAAGGGGAAGATTGTGGGGTCCTTGGTGCTCTGTGAGCTGGGTTTTCTTGCAGATGTTTCATGACCCAGCTAGGAAACATCATCAGTGCTAGAAGGGAGTGGGGTTTGTAGAGAGGAGGAGGAGGAGGAGGAAGAGGAGGGAAAAAAAGACTGGGGGGTCCTTGAGGCTCTCTCTCGGTGGTTTTCTTCCAGACGTTTCATTACCAAACTAGGTAACATCATCAGTGCTACAAGGCAGGGGGGCTTGAAGAGGAGGAGGAGGACTGTGGGATCCTGGGTGCTCTCTGAGCTGGCTTGTTTTCTTGCAGATGTTTCATGACCCAACTAGGGAACGTCATCAGTGCTAGAAGGGAAGGAATTTGGTGGGAGGAGGAGGAGGAGGGGGAGGAAAAGGACTGTGGGGTCCCTGGTGCTCTCTGAGCTGGCTGGTTTTCTTGCAGACGTTTCATGATACAACTGGGTAACATCATCAGGGCTAGAAGGGAGTGGGGTTTGTAGAGAAGAAGAAGAAGAAGAAGAAGAAGAAGAAGAAGAAGAAGAAGAAGAAGAAGAAGAAGAAGAAGAAAAGAAGAAGAAGAAGAAGAAGAAGAAGAAGAAGAAGAAGAAGAAGAAGAAGAAGAAGAAGAAGAAGAAGAAGAAGAAGAAGAAGAAGAAGGACTGTGGGCTCCTTGGTGCTCTCTGAGCTGGGTGGTTTTCTTGCAGACGTTTCATGATCCAACTGGGTAACATCATCAGGGCTAGAAGGGAGTGGGGTTTAAAAGAGAAGAAGAAGAAAGAAGAAGAAGAAGAAGAAGAAGAAGAAGAAGAAGAGGAGGAGGAGGAGGAGGAGGAGGAGGAGGAGGAGGAGGAGGAGGAGGAGGAGGAAAAAGACTGGGGGGTCCTTGAGGCTCTCTCTCTCTCTGCTCTCTCTTGGTGGTTTTCTTCCAGACGTTTCATTACCAAACTAGATAACATCATCAGTGCTACAAGGCGGGGGGGGGGGGCTTGAAGAGGAGGAGGACTGTGGGGTCCTGGGTGCTCTCTGAGCTGGTTGTTTTCTTGCAGACGTTTCATGACCCAACTGGGGAACATCATCAGGGCTAGAAGAGAGTGTGGTGCATGGCCAGGAGGAAGAGGAGGAGATTGTGACTCGGTGATTTTCTTGCAGGCATTTAATTACTCCACTAGGGAACGTCATCAGGGAGGGGGGGGCTTGCGGAAAAGAGGAGGACCAGGACTGGGGGGGGGTGTCTTTGGTGCTCTCTGAGCTGGGGGGGGTTTCTTGCAGACGTTTCAGGACCCAACTAGGAGGCGTCATCCGGACTGCTGAAGAAAGCGCTTCCCAGGAGCGGAGAGATGGCGCTGCCCCCCCCCAAAATCCACTCTTGCAGGGGGGGGTCACGTCCTGGGGATGAAGGTCAGGCCCCTCCCCCCCGCCTCCTTTGCAGCCCGCCCGCCCAGTGCGGGGCGCTCGAGGCGGCCACGCGCCCGCCTCGCCACAGTTGGTGCCCTCCGCGCTCTCCCATTGGCTGCGCCTCCCGCCCTCGGCCCCGCCCCGCCCCGCCCTCCTCAGGCCCGAGGGGGGGAAAGCCCGCCCTCTTTCCCCTGGACCAATCAACCCGCGCCGGGACGGGGGTGGGGCGCCGGCCTCTTTGTCGCAGCGACCAATGGGCGGCGAGGGGCGGGGCGGGGCGACTCTTGGCGGAGGCTGCCCGGCGTCCCGGCGGGAGAAGCGGGAGGCTCGGCGGAGGCGGCCGCGGTCCCGGCGGGCGAGGCTTTCCCCCGCGCTGACGCCAGGTGAGTGGATTCCCTCCGCAGCGCCGGCTTCCCTTCCTTCCTCCCCGGCGGCTCCTAAGCGGGGGACTCCGAGTCCCATCACTCCCAGCCGCCCCAGGGGTGGGTGGGGGGCTCCGCAGAGCGGGCCGTTGGAGGGGTGGGGACCCCTCCTCCCCGGTTCCTTGCTGTAAACCCCGGGGCGCCAGGCGGTGTCTCTCTCTCTCTCTCTCCCCCTCCTTTCCCCCGCTTGCTTCCCCGTCCCGGGATCACCGCGTGGTGCGCCGTCCTTCCCCCTCCCCAATGCAGCTCGCTTTCGCCGCAGGGCCCGGATTGAGGAAGGATGGAGAGGGGGGGGGACGCGAGGCCTACGGGTGGCACCCCGGGGCTCCCCCTCGCGCTTCTGGGCCACGCTGTGCAAAAAATAAAGCCTCCCACGCTCCTTTTGCAACCGGGCGCCCGCGGCTTTCGGAGCCTCTGGGGAGGGGAGGGGGAGGCAAGGCCTTGGGAATCTGTGCCTGGGTGGGGGAGGGAGCTGCATTAATGGGGGGGGCTTTTTCCTGCTCCTCCCCTCCCCCAGCTGGCTGCTGTCTTGCAACCTGAACTCGCAGCCTCCCCCCCCCGGACCAAAGAGGGGGGGAGCCCGAGCGCTTCCCCTCTTCTCTCCCCCCCCTCCCAGCAAAGCTTGGTGCATTGATGCAGAGCGGGAGGGGGGGCAGGCTCGTTTTGGACGCCCCCTCCCTGCAGCCTCCCCACCGACTGTTTTATTTATATATTAAGTTTAGGCACAGCTGGAAGGCTTGGCTGAATGGCTGGCAGTGCATTGGATTGATTTTGCTGTGTGTGTGTGTGTGCAGGAACTGTCAAAACCCCCAAACCCCCTCCCTCCTTTTAACAAGGTGCAGCCTCTTGGCGCCAGGAAAAGAGGCTTTGCTCTTCCGGGTGCCCGTGAAGGGATCGGGGCTGTCTTCCGCAGAGCTTGTACTACAACATCCATCCTGCCCTGCCAGCCTGGCCCGGGACTGCCCTGGCCCTGGCCAAGGGTGATGGGTGGGGGGATAGCTTGAATGGGGTTTCTGAACTGAAGCTTGGCTTCGACCTTAGATAAAACTGGTGGAGGTTTTGGGGGTTCATTTAGTTATGTCCTGTGGTTTTGTTTTTTATTATTTTAATAAATAATTCCTAAAGCAGCCAACGTACCCAATACCCATTCCTCCTCCAATTTTTCCCAGAACAACAATCCTGTGAGGTGGGTTGGACAGAGGGAGGGGGACTAGCCCAAAATTACTCAGCCGGTTTTTTATGCCTAAGGTGGAACTAGAACTCGCCGTCTCCTGGTGATTGGCATAAAGTCACCCAGTCGGTTTTCATGCCTAAGGTGGAACTAGAACTCACCGTCTCCTGGTGATTGGCATAAAGTCACCCAACCGGTTTTCTATGCCTAAGGTGGAACTAGAACTCACCGTCTCCTGGTGATTGGCATAAAGTCACCCAACCGGTTTTCTATGTCTAAGATGGAACTAGAACTCACCGTCTCCTGGTGATTGGCATAAAGTCACCCAGCTGGTTTTCTATGCCTAAGGTGGAACTAGAACTCACCGTCTCCTGGTGATTGGCATAAAGTCACCCAACCGGTTTTCTATGTCTAAGATGGAACTAGAACTCACCGTCTCCTGGTGATTGGCATAAAGTCACCCAGCTGGTTTTCTATGCCTAAGGTGGAACTAGAACTCACCAGCACCTGGTTTCTAGCATGCACCAGACTGGCCAGTGGTGGGCCATAATTACCCCAGGGATCTGGTGCAGGTTGATCAATAGGTATTTTCCAGTTTCTCAGTCTCTGGTGGGGACTGGGCCCAGGTCCCCCAGTTGCCATCCGTGCCTAAGGAGAAGCACAACTGGATCTCCCAGCGCCTAGCTCGGCTCCTTCACCGGGGCACCCCGTTGGCGGTGGAACCCTCCCTCCCGTAAGTGACGGGCTTCGTTAAGCTTTTGAGTAATGTCTGGATGGATCCAGAATGTGAGAATCGTGTGGCGCTGCTGGATCAGGATGAGGCCCGTTTGGGACCAGTGCTGGGCTTTCTGGCAGGGATCAACTGGATCTCTCTGGAGTTTCCAAGCAGAAGCTGGAGACGGTTTATTTTATTTCCCGTCATGTCATGGCATTTCATTATTTTATTCTATTTATTCTATTTTCTATTTATTTTATTTTGTTGTTATTTTATGTTATTTCATTTATTTTATTTTATTTTATTTCATTTTCAATCGATCAGAATAGAGCTGGAAGGGATCTTGGAGGTCATCTAGTCTAGGGCTTTTCAATCTTTTCACCCATTGTACCGCTTTTAGGATATGGCAACATCCGAGGACCATCAGTCGCCTAGCAAGGTGTCAAAAACTTGGAAAAAAAGTGATGAAGTACAGGTAGTCCTCGACTTACAACAGTTCGCTTAGTGACTGTTCAAAGTTACAATGGCACTGAACAAAGGGCCCCCCAAGCCACAGCCGAGCAAGACACCTGCCTGCCCACCTGCCCGCGCTCTTCCTCCTGTCCGAGGTTTTCATTGTTGTGAGCATTTCTGTTGAGGATTGGCAGCGGGGGTGGGGTGGGGGGTGTTTGGTTTTTATTTCCCCCCCCCCCCCGTCTGCTGGGTGGTTGCAGCAGGTTTTGGTCCCTTCACATGACCCTGGGACACTGGGACCGTCATAAATATGAATCAGTGGCCAAGCATCTGAATGTAAATCACAAGACCCTGGAGAGGTTGCAACATTCCAGCTGATCGGTGCTTCTTCAGGGCTCAGCAGAAGCTCCAGGATCAGCGCCGAGCTCCAGCTGGAGCCTGGCACTGATCCTGGGGCTTCCGCTGAGCCCTGACAGCCCTGCAGCTCCAGCCGTCTCTCGCTCAGGCTTGTGCAGTGCTGCCACCGGTTCAGCTCATTCTCCTCCCCTGCTACCCCTTTTCTAGGATGGTCGCGTACCACCTGCCAGGTGCCAATGGACCACAGGTGGTACCCGTGCCACTGGTTGAAAAGCCCTGCTCTGGTCCAATCCCCTGCTGAAGCAGGAGATCTTGTACCATTTCAGACAAGTGGCTGTCCAGCCTTTTCTTAAAAACCTGCAGTGATGGAGCACCAACAGCTTCTGGTGGCAAGCTGTTCCACTGGTTAATTGTTAAAATTACATTTTAACGTTTTGTTTTATTTTATTTTATTATTTTTATTTTTTTATTTTTTATTTTATTTCATTTTATTGTATTATTTTATTTCATTTCATTCAATTTATATGTCACCCCCTCACCATCCAGCGACTCTTGAGCGCCAATTCCTTTGCAGTTCGACATCTAGAGAAGTGCTGCCCCCATCCTGGGGTCTTCAAGACCAAGAGCCTCCCCTTGCCCCCCCTCCATGAAAGTAGCCAGGTCCCTGGGAAAGCCCTCCAGTGGTGGCCACTGCCTTGTCCTGTGGGGAGGAGTTCCCCTGGTGAACAATACACCGCGAGGAAGCGCTTCCTTCTCACGGTCTCTTCCTCTTGGGTGATCTTGACGTTTCTCCCAGCCACTTTCTCCAGGCCGGGCCTGGTTTGGAGGACCTCAAGGGTGCCCTTGCTCTCCCTCCCTTTTCCAAAGCTCGCCCAGTGTCCGAGAAGAAGACCGTCCCTTTAGCCTGCCCCGTGTTTGTGCCCGAGTTGGAATGTTCTTCCGTCTTGGAGGACAATTGACTAGGCCGGGGCTAGGCAACCTTGGCTCTTTTGTGACTCGTGGACCTCAACTCCCAGAATTCCTGAGCTAGCCATGCTGAGGGGAAAGGGAGAGGTTTCTAAGCTGAGCCAGGCTGGCTCAGGAACTGTGGGAGTTGAAGTCCACGAATCATGAGGGGCCCATAGTTCCCCCATGCTGGCTCAGGAATTCTGGGAGTTGAAGTCCACGAGTCAGAAAGCGGCCTAAGCCAGGGGTAAGCAACCTTGGCTCTTTTATGCCTGGTGGACCAACTCCCAGAATTCCTGAGCCAGCCATGCTGAGGGGAAAGGGAGAAGGTTCCAAGCTGAGCCATGTTGGCTCAGGAATTCTGGGAGTTGAAGTCCACGAGTCATGAAGGGGGCATAGTTACCCCATGCTGGCTCAGGAATTCTGGGAGTTGAAGTCCACGAGTCATAAAGCAGCCTAGGCCTAGGCCAGAGGTAGGCAACCTTGGCTCTTTTATGACTCGTGGACTTCAACTCCCAGAATTCCTGAGCCAGCCATGCTGAGGGGAAAGGGAGAGGTTTCCAAGCTGAGCATGCTGGCTCAGGAATTCTGGGAGTTGAAGTCCCCAAGTCATGAGGGGGCCATAGTTCCCCCATGCTGGCTCAGGAATTCTGGTAGTTGAAGTCCACAAGTCATAAAAGAGCCAAGATTGCCTAACCCTGGATTAGGGACACCCGTGGAGTTATGGCCATAGACCCGGGTCTCTTCGGAGACCGTCTCGTGGGACCTGCTTCATGGGACGGAAGACGTTGCCTGGGAAAGCATGTGTCCCCAAACACGCCACATTTCCCAAAATGGCAAGAAAGCAGACGTCGTTAAGTGAATCGCTGCAGCTAATAACACGGTTATTAAGTGAATCTGGCTTCCCCACTGATGTTGCTTGTCGGAAGGTCGCCAAAGGGGATCACATGATCCCAGGGCACTGCGACCGTCATAAATACGAGCCGGTTGCCAAGCGTCTTGAATTTTGATTGGGTGGCCACAGGGATGCTGCAGTGGTTGTGAGAAAAACGGTCCGAAGTCGCTTTTTCTAGTGTCGTAACTTTGAACGGTCACTAAATGAACGCTTATAAGTCGAGGACTGCTGTTGTCAGCTGATGGTGAACAATAGAATAAGGTCTCTTCTGACTTTGGAATTTGAGCTTCCTCAAAAGATGGAGGAAGGCCACCAGGTTTGTCCATTAATGCTCCAGCCATAAGGACACGTATCTCAAGCCTGGACATGCTGTGGGCGATCTCAGCTCTGTCCCTCACAGAGGTGAACACGCATTTTGCATTCCT